TATTATTATTAAGCTTAAATTATCCCACTTAGAAAATACATTTTCAATAATTTTAAAGCTTAATGGTTTAATAAGTTTATAGCTTGCAACTTAATTTTCTTGTTCTTGTGAAAGGGTATTTGAAGGAATCTGTTATTCACGAGGAGGGATGACTCTCCTGAGAAGCAGACTGGCCTGTTGTACAAGAGAAAGAGAGATAAGTTTTGACTTTGATGAACAAAAGAGTAAGCTTTCTAAAAAAGTGTTTTTTTTTTTTTTCTTTTTATTTTTGGGGGTGTATAGTGAAATCTCCTTAAATTACTCCATAATCTGCAGTGGTTTCATTGTTAAGGATGTTTTGGTCATATATTGTGTGCATTTGTACTAGGACTAATTGACTTTTGAGTGCATTGTTTATGCATGTTTGTTTGTCTTTAGTAAGAATCAGCACATGGATTAGCTGTAATACAGTGGATAAAATGTGAGGGTGTACAGGTCTGGTCTATGTTAGAATGTGATTTGAACTGATCTGGTTCCCAAGAATGATTGAACCCTGCCCCGAGGGCCCCGCCACTCCGGCCTCGTAGTCTTGTTAGAGGGTAAATCGGGATAAAACTTAGCTCCTTTAAGGAAGAATGATTGAACCCGACCCCAAGGGCCCGTCACTCCTGCCTTGTAGTCTTGTTAAAGGAGGTAAATCGGGATAAAACTTAGCTCTTTAAGGAAGAATGATTGAATCCTACCCCAAGAGCCCCGCAACTCCTGCCTCGTAGTCTTGTTAGAGGAGGTAAATCGGGATAAAACTTAGCTCCTTTAAAGGAGAATTGGACCCTAATAGGAGCAATTCTAGTCAAGTTGGTCAGACTGTTGACTTAATCATAAAGTTACAAGTTCGACTCCAGCTGGAGCGACTTATTGGCTTCTTGGTTTGAACCAGTCAGCTAGGACAACCTAGGCTGGTTTATCTCGTTGGGGTCCTTTGGTGGCTAGAGTTACAAGACAAGGTTTACATGGTGCACACCTTTAGATAGTGGCTGCTGGTTTCTCTCGTCACTCATTTTTTTTTGAAAAAGAAGCATTGGACTCTAATCTCGAGAGTTTTCCCACCGTGCCTTATGGCAGAGGAGGTAAATTGGGGGGGACTCCACCAGCTACTCTCTGTCTGTAGTCTTGGTAGAGGAGGTAAATAGCGAGGTTAAATTTATGTCTCTTGACCTGAGGATAAGGGTGTGTCCATACCCCAAAACTGCAGAAAAGTTTGATAGCAAATTGAATTTAATGTTCTGACTTAACTACTCACCATGCCGTATTTGATCTGTTCATATTTATTAGTCAATGGAGGCAGAAATGTACATGTCCTTGTAAACGTGTTTGCAGTGTACTAACATCTACCCCATAGTCCATGAGCTTTTATTTCATGTCTGGCAGATCCCGAAAACTACTAGGTGATATGATTCGATATTTCCTAACGTGAAAGGTAAAGTGGAGTAGCGATCTCTACTTCCCCCGAGCAACTTAGCTCAATCCCGATCCTAGTACATGGCTCGTTCTTGATCACTGTCCTTGCAAGTGAAAATGTGAATCCACGCGTTTTCTGGATCTAGCTTAAAGAAATGTCCAGAAAACGATATTTAGGCCAGTCATACAATAGATACAAGTTTAACTTCCAGTCTTCTCTGTCTGTTTTCTTCTCGTTTTTCTGACTTTATGAGCAAGATGTCTGGTGAAAAGTCCATAGATCTAACAACAACCAAATACAAAGAAACAATCTTTTGAAACTGGGAGTGTAAATTATTCCTTTTCCTACATGGTGAGGAATCTTTGGTGGGACCCAGAAGCTGTAAGGCATTTTTTCAGGCCTGCCAAAGCTGTGTATGTATATGCAGTGCAATAAGTTCAAATCTACTTCTGGGGGTGGAATTATGGAAAGTACTTGTTTTTTGTTAAGCTAAGCTATAATAAGTTAATTAGTAACATAATAATGTGATTATGGCTTAGTTGAGTGATGATGGAAATCTGCATCCATTATCCGAGGGTGTGTAACTGTGTACTGGGTAAATCTCGCCTTGTGATCTTAGTCGAGTTTTGCATGGATTTTGACGGTTAGTAAATATGGTGGACCTCCCTATAGTATTTTTTCCTGTATTAAAAGCATCAGCACTATTCCATGACAGCATTGAATAGCTACTGGGGCCTGGGAATTTACTGTCTTTGGGACTCATATTTTGAAATGCTTCCATTTCCTGTTTAGATATATCTATTGTGCAGAACCCTCATGTGGTTGGCTTATTTCCCGCGTTCTCGTTCCTTTATGTATCGAGTACAGCCTCCTTAAATTGTAACGTGTTTGACATTGACTACTCTTATCGGTTCAAATAAGTTTCACTTTTACTTCAATATTTGCTTGATGGTGTGGTGAATCGAACATCTTTCTAGTTTTTTGTTCGGGCGAGATTTGTAATAGGGTGCATGGTTGGTAAAGTTAAAAACTTTGAAGCTTTGACTATATTATTTGTATCCCGGGGGATAAGATAAGACTGGTCCTATCAAGTCTCGATTAGGTCCCATTCAGGAGGGGCTTTAATGTAACATGTGGTTTTTAATGATGTTTTTCAGTTAAAACTTATGATGGGCTTGAGAGCTGCATCAAGCAAAGCCACCAGTCCTATGACAATGAAAGCTCCACCAGCAGATGTGACAAAAGCGTTACCGACTCCTTGTTCGATGATGATTCGAGCAGCACTTCTAGCAACACGGCTTTCATGTCGCTCTCGTCTCAGAGGACGACGGTGAAGAAGGACAGCAGCCATGGACCTGAAACGTGGGAATTCTCCGCGAGCCCTCAACATTTCGGTGTCAAGGAGAAGGCGGTGGCTTCACAGCAGACCTTTGAGTATTCCGATATGGAAGCCATGAAAGTGAAATTCTCGAAGTTGTTGCTCGGGGAGGACATGACGGGAGGCACCAATGGCCTTTCAACCGCACTCGCATTGTCAAATGCCATATCAAGTCTTTCAGGTAGCCTCCTATACACTAAAGACCAAAAATCTCGGGCAAAAACCCAACAGTAGTTTGGAACAGTTGGTAAACGAACTACTAATGTAACTATTAAGTCCAAAAATCTCGGGCAAAAACCCAAAAATAGTTTGGGACAGTTGGTAAACGAACTACTAATGTAACTGTTAAGTCCAAAAATCTCGGGCAAAAACCCAACAGTAGTTTGGGACAGTTGGTAAACGAACTACTAATGTAACTAAATCTTTCGACAGCATCTGTTTTTGGTGAGCTGTGGAAATTGGAACCACTTTCAGAGGAGAAAAAGCGGAAATGGCAACAAGAAATGGAGTGGTTTCTATCCCCGACCAACTATATGGTCGAGTTGGTCCCCGCTACACAGAATGGCAATAATGGCTCCACTTTTGAGGTATTCCCGACTCTTATAATCTATCTATAGATCACAAGAAATGAAGCAACACTAAGTTTCTAACGATATTGGAGCAGATAATGACACCAAAAGCTCGGCCCGACATTCAGATGAATCTGCCAGCTCTTCAGAAACTGGATACTATGCTTATTGTAAGTGGTCTGTTTAACATATAAAAAACAGATATGACTATTTTACCTCGTGCTGGCCAAATTGACAACGCTTTTACCTCGTATCCTCATAGGAAACCCTGGATTCAATGGTTGAGACCGAGTTTTGGTACTCCGAAGTTGGAAGCCGAGCCGAAGGGAGAAGCAGGAGTGCGGGACAGAGCAAAAGATGGTGGCTGCCTTCACCTCAGGTGCCGATGACTGGGCTGTGCGATGCTGAAAGAAAGAAACTGATGGATTGCGGGAAATTGGTGAATCAAATATTCAAAGCCGCTAAAGCTATCAATGAAAACGTCTTGCATGAAATGCCCGTTCCGGCACTCATCAAGGACGCGCTTCCTAAGGCAAGTAACCTTATAACCTCTGCTCGACTTCACCTGGCATTTAGCATAGCTTCTTGGCTAACTTGTTGTTTTCGTTACTACAGTCTGCTAAGGTGAACCTCGGGGAGGATCTGTACAAGGTTTTGAGTGTGGAATCGGCTTCGTTTGATGACATGATTGATGCTCTGAATCTGAGATCCGAGCACAGCGCCCTGGAGACCATAAACAGATTGGAAGCTGCGGTTCTCGTGTGGAAAGAAAAATTAGCCGAACAAGCAGAAGACAAGTCTCCTATTCGAACGTCTTGGTCTTTCATTAAAGATCCAACCTTTGAGCTCGATAGAATTGATCTTTCGTTGAATCATGCTGAAGCTCTTCTGCAGAAGATTAAAACCCGATACCCAAACCTCCCACATACATTCCTTGACATGATGAAGATCCAATATGGCAAGGTGAGTATCAACTACCAAGTTTATAATACACGAAAGATCCTCGAAGACTGTTGCTGACTCTTTACTCGTTTCCTCAGGATATCGGGCATGCAGTACTAGAAGCATACTCTCGGGTTCTTGGGAACCTCGCATTTACCATACTTACCAGAATCGGAGAAATCTTGCAAGAGGACATTTTGAGCAATCCGAATTCCCCAGCAGCAGCATGCCATCTTCCCGGGTTAAGAATCCCGGGGACCCCGGGGAGTCCTGCACCTAGTAGTCATCGTGTCAGGCACTCGCTCATTGATCAGATGAACAAAGTCGATGGGGGGCGTGCTTCTTTCTCTTGTCGCACCAATGCTTCCGATTTGGATCTCGATTCAGTGAGTTCAATGAGAGGCTTGATCACTGCAACGCCAAGTAGAAGGCGCGGGTGGTGTCTCAGCAGAGAAGTCTGCAGAAGTAAGTCGCCTGAAAATTCACCATAGTGCGGTCCGATAGTTATAATGTATAGATAATAGCATCACCCATTCCATACAACAATACTAGGCATAGGCTGACCTTTTATCAACAATTGCTTCGAACAAAATGTCATAATCCCAAATGGCAGTTTGTATTGTTGGGAGGTCAGGATGAAGCTTATAAAGGCTGTATTTAATCGGTTTTGATGAATGCTTAAAAGTTCGTCTTTCTGGCAAACTATTTCTATTGATCAAATGATCTACCTGTCTCCCAAATAACATCGAATTTTGACAGTATATACTATATACAAGATTTTGTGCATACTGGATTTGCAACAACATTAATTAAGATGCATGAGTATTCATCAAACCTCGACGCTAAAATTACTGAGCAAGACGATCAAACCAGTTGGCAATGATTCTTCCGAGTCTTCTAGTGTCATTAAGCGAGATACTCTTTATTCCTTGCGCTATGGCATCTCCTGGAGTGTACACATTCCCTACTTCCCACCTCGGTTCCTAATAATAACATTCGAGTTAACTAGAGTTCAAATATCATGTTTCATATATGATTGTTAAAAGAAAAAACTTGGAACAAATTGCCAAAGTTTAGATGGTACAACTCGCTAAGATGTGTGCATACTTTTGCATCGTCTAAGCTTGTTAAGCTCTGTTTTGCCAAAGTTTTGAATACTACTGACTCTGTTATAAAGTAGTATCTGTCTAAACATACTTTCTCAACCTATTGAGAACTTGTCCCATTTGGAAGAGCCACAGTTATGCCGCTTGACCACAAGGTCTTTGGCCTATTACCATTTACCAAATCATATATCTTAGTCACAAAATTTTAAAACCATTGTGTTTTGCAACCTAGGCAAAAGATATCACAGAATCTACGCTTCATATACTGATGCGAACAAACACGTCACCGAAAAATGAGTTAGAATGAGCGTAGTTTGTGAGTTACCTGAATGCACGGTGTAATGTGGTTACCACTTAAGACAACTTTCTCTAGTTTTCCACCAAAAGATTCGACTCGAGGCTTCAGTATCTCTTCAAGGCGATCAGTCTCGTCTATTGTATCAAAATCGAACTTCACCTAAAACAACAATTAATCGTTACATCAGTAGGGAACTGTTGCTTTTTCTTGTGTCTTGTATTTTCGTGTCACGTACCAGTAGAGTGCACGGAACACTATACGATTCTTTGTAACACTCGAGATTTTCAGATGGTGTAGGCTTGAACTCTGCTATCCCTTGAGCAAGCTGATACCATGTAACAAGTTACTCCATAGTTCATAAGTTGAAGGGATGATTAATATACAATATTCGAGCTGCTAAAAAGTTTGCTAATCTGAGAGTGTGGTCAATTAAGAATGTGTGTGAAGAACGAGCCATAAATAAGGCCACAATACTTACCTCATTAAATACAGAAGGCAATTGATCGGCAAATTTAGTCAATGAAACAACTGCTTCTGGATCATAGTTTGGTACCACTGTTTCGGCTGCATCAAGCAGCATCTTCCATGCATTTCCTAAACGTGCACCAGAAAAGATGACTAGGGATAAATACACACTCTGCATTAGGTGTTGGATCTCAGCGCTACATTATGCTGACTTCCCAGGGGTCACCCATTCTGTGACTGCCGTAAGTCAAGCAGTCTTAACCACAGAGTTCTTTGGCTATCTGATTGTCATATCCTACTTAAAACCAATTGGTGATAAGTAGGTGGACATTAACCTTTTAACCAATCCCTCCATGGTAAGCCACAACGCCACGTCTCGATCGAGCAAGGGCTGAACTCGGCCAACCCGGCCGACGCCCAACATTAGGCATAGGTTCGAGTCCAACATCATTCTTACATGAACCCTCCCATATATATATATATATATATATATAGGAAATGCAGCCAATCAGATCGAGAAAAGTTTAGGCCTCACTGGTTGCACGAGAGTATACCAGTAACTAGTATTTCACATTTCACGGAAATTGATAAAATAGACATTCAACCGATTAATGTGATCTACCTGAAGCAGTCTGAACAGCTGAATACATTGGAGATGTTTCAACAACCGGCAGTAACTGACCAACTACAGGACCCAACTGCAAAATAGCAAGTAAAATAAGCGAGGTGAGGTGATCAATAATAAGAACAAATGCATAATCCATCTTAGCCTAAGGGGAAAAACAATAATCATTGCCAGTTAGATTGAAACACGACAAAAATAATCAGGTCGATATGAAGATCTTAGATTTACAAGAAACATATAACCATACGAGGACAATTACCTGCTCAAAATATGGTACTGCCTCTGATGCTGGCCTGTTGTTGTATGATATTATCACATTAGCCTTCAAAAGCAAAATAAACTCTCATTAAGTTTCAGTAGTTCAGTTAACTAGAGGTAATAACTACAACCCACTACACAATTAGCATAAAACGCAATGATTGCAAGTAAAGAAAAAAAATAAAAATCGCATACCTTCGGTATCTTCTCGGAGAAATAACTTCCTATGAGGGCTTGAAGAAGAGCTCCATTGCTACACACACATGGTACTGTTGAGCATATAGTCATTAATGTGCAACCTAACTATCAGCTTAGGCTTTTAGTGAGGTGGAGCACATGCTTCAATTTGGTAAAGATCATGGGTTTGAATCCGCACACGTGAAGGGGCGTGTTGAGCATATAACCATTAATGTGCAATTTACGATTTCTCTCATAAATAACAATCAATCTATGAATGATACCTGTGTCCTACTGAATAAAGTGGCAAATCTGCAATATCAGCAGCGGAAAGTCCTGAATCCGGCAACCCAGACTCCAAAATTGAAGCGAAACAAGAATGGAACCTCTCAAAAACCCGTCTGGTAATTTGCGAGTGATCGAATGTCACATTGTAAGGCACACAAATGATCAAATACCCTTCTCTCGCCAGCAGCTCGAGCAAATAACTAGCAAAAAAAAAAAAGAGATGAGTAAACATCTCCAAAACAAAGGAATTCCATACAGCGTTTAAATCAGAGACCTGTAAGTGACTTCCGGGACAGCTCCGATGAAAGCTCCGCCGAGAAATTTGATGATCGCTTTGGGTTTTCGGCCTATTGGCGGAGGAACTACTAAGCAAGAATCAAGGCGCCTGTATAGCTTACTGCTACTAGAAGAAGAAGAAGAAGGAATAGAACTGGGAGAAGTGTAATTGCTCCTTCCCGTTCCGGCGAAGCCATTTGAGAGAACCATTCTCGGGGTCTTGGGAAAGAAATGTGTAGAATGGGCGAGGGGTTTGGGTTTGATTCCTGATATACTGATAGGAGAAGTTGCGGTCGCTACGCACGCTGCCATTTTCGGCTCTGTGTAGTTGCAGAAAGCGAGACGACGAACAAGGTCCAGTTGGCCGGAGGCGGGCAAATTTTGTGGGGCGCCGGAAGGTGAAACGTGGCGCCTCTGACTCACTGTCAAAGGAGTGAAGGACATATAGACTTTCTAGATTAGTCGAAAAACATAATTCACTTCGATTCTAAATTAGTCAAATACCTTTCAAAAATAAAATTATAATACTTCATACAACAATTCAGTTTGATTCATGCATTCTCAACTTACTGAAACATAAAGAGTCAATGCTCCCATTAAAGTTCGAATCTGTAACTTCTCATTTGGAATGAACCTATACCACCTATTAAAGTTTGAATCTGTAACTTCTCATTTGGGAAGAACCTATACCGCACAATAATTGCACAATTCAACTTCATATTAATAAAAAACTAATTAAAAATAAATAAATAAATAAGGACTAGCTCAAAACAATCCCATGATATATTTCAGATTCTAATCCTATGATATATTTCAGATTCTGGAATTAAGATTATGGGTCCGTTTACTAACCAAAAACTATTATCTGTTTTCTAATTTTTTTAGTTTTCATTCTTTGAAAACTTGTTTACTAATAGAAAATTGTTCTCTATTTTCTATTTTTTAATTTTTCAATTTTCACCTAAAATTTAGTTTAGATAATATTAAATATTATGCATCAGTACTATTACAAGGATGAGAATCCTGTAATATAGTACAGATATGCTTTAATCTCCATTGAAAATGAGCTTTTGGAAGAAGTTGATATCAAAAGTTTGATAAATGATTTTGCATCTAAATGTGCACGGCTCATGTCACTTTTTAAATAAAATTTTAGAAGTATTTTTATACAATATTTATATTTTGATACAGCTTTTTGAACAACTACTATTTATATATCGAAATTACTTGAAAAAAAAAAAGGCTACAAATTAAGATATTGTACATGACCCAAATTTTTATTGGAACGGCTCTGCTATGCATAGCCATGCATGCATTTAACAAAATATTCTAATTCTGAGATGTTCTCTGCCGTTTGAATCCGCTGCCATGGCCGTTCGAGTACAAAGAATGTGGAGTGGTGTCGATAGGGATCATTTCTTGGCTTTGATGTCTCCACGAGTCTCATAAATGTTTCTCTATCATAATCCCCGGGGGCGTTATGACCAGCTATAGCTACTCCCTTTTCCCAAGCACCATTTAGGACCTAAGGTAAAAGTTTTCGTGAAGTTAGCATACAGATTTTTAAGAGTTGTCGGTAGTTAGTTATGAGCAAAGTTGAGAATGCAAGAACCTGCCAACACAAGCCATTGGGATCTGCATATGCTTGAACAAGATCGTGGGGTGAAATCTGTGTTTCCTTGCTGACTAACTTCACTGTCGCATTGTGTTTTTTGAGGACCTCAAAGAGTGGAGAATAGCCATCTCGGTTTGATGTGTTGTAATATCCAGCAGTGAGTTCTGCTGCATGGCTGCTCGCTTTATACCACCAATGAATTCCCGGAATCTGCAGGAAATGAGGAAAAATTCATCATTTTCCCAGTGTGCACCCCCGGGTAGTGGTTACAGATTTTCCTTGGGTAGGGTCGCAAAGTAGGGTTTATCCCGTGCATATCCAGTGCACACCCTCAGGTAAATGTTTTCGGCTCTAGACCATCCAACTTCCCTCGGGTAGGGTCACAAAACGGAGTTTACCCAGTGCACACCCTCGGGTAGGGTCACAAAACGGAGTTTACCCAATGCACACCCTCAGGTAGTGGTTGCAGATTTCTCTCGCCACTCAAAAACAAATACTCCATAGCAAACAAATAAGTAGATGCCTTAGGTTCTAAGGTTTACATGTGTACATACACATAGATACATACCTTCACAACTAACGGTGTTTCATCAAATGCTTCAGTTGCAGCTGACAGAATGGTATCAGCATGATCTATTAAGGCCTGGGTATACCACTGGAGGAAGAATCGTCCATAGCAGCTATTATAATCACCTTTTTCACGGAAAAATCTAGTCTCATGTGGCCTAGAATTATAACAACCAACATAATTAGGCCCCATTGCCCAGGAAGGTTGCCCTCGTTTCTCTGCAGCATATTTAAGACTTTGCAGAAGAAACTTATCATAACACTGCAAGAGGGGGAAAGACGTCGATCACTAATTTCACCAAGGCAGCAGGGAGAAGCATAGCATTGAAAACACATAGCATGAATGTATATATGTTTGATGTGGATAGCAAAATTACAGTTAGTAAGAAGATACTATAAATGGATTGATAGAAATGAATTCATAGACCTTGGTGTAATGAGCGAATAGATACCTGAAATTCACCAATACCGGGAAATCTCCATCCATTTCTTTCAGAAAAAGAAGGGTACTTCAACTCCCCGGAAGCTCCAAGTCCAATTTCCACAGCAGAAATGAGACCCTCAGTGAACAAATCATTAAATTCAGCTCGAAAGCTTCTCATGAATTCATAATAAACCTGCAAAAATTGGATTACAAATGAGGATTAATGCAACCAATTTCAAAGTCAACAGGAAAATTATGCAGAATAATACTATTTGCTTTCTAGAATAGTTAGATACTCCTCATCAGTCATCACCCAATAAACAAAAAAAAAAAAAAAAAAAAATGAATTAAGAAAATTTTGATACCTCTCGACCAGTTCTACGGTCTAAAATACGCTCATTATCTATTCCCCAAGAAAGACATTCAGTATTCCATCTTCCTACACGATCAGCGAAGAATATTTCCGGGCAGTCTTTTCCAATCTTCAAAACCCACTCAGGGAGAGATATATCCACATTGAAATCATTTCCACCATAGGCATTAAACGCCATTACAACCTTTAGAAGAGAAGAAGACAGTTAATAAACAATCCATCTGAACAAGGCATTAGAGAAAAAATCTTCCAAGTGGAGAAATACCAATTTCTGCATATCATTTCTCTAATTTTGGGTCCACAGCCCACAGGGCAGAGGGACAAAGTAGGCAAAACTAGAAATGATGAAATAGCTGAGCTAAATTTCTGGAATGTATGTCTAAGGAGAAAGCCCAATGCTTACAGACAAAAAATGTTCACTCATTTATTAGAACCAGTGATGAGCTGATATACCAGAAGCAGTAACATGCGTTAATGTACCAGAACATAAATTTTATACCTGCAATTTCAATCCCATATCTCGGATGATATTGAATAATTCTTTGTATCCAAGCCACTTATATTCCTGATTACGTCGTTCAACAATCCCCCACCAGCAATTTATAACTACACCATCTATGTTTAAAGATTTTAGTAGTTGTAATTCATGTTGAACACCACTGGGATCCACTAATTGGCATAAATTGTTAATTATGCCACTCTGCAAGAAAGAAACTTGTTAATATTAGCATTGACTAAAAAAGAAAGGGTGAACATAGTGAACAAAAAATAATCTTGCATTCATTCCTTTAGATCATGAATGCATGGAGAATTTCAAGAATCAAAGCAAATAAATTAATGGAAAAGGATTGCCCTTTCACCTACTAAAGAAAAGAATCAGCAATGGAGAAATTAGGCCACTTACAGAAAGCATGACATAGACAGGAACATATGGAGTTCCTAAAAAATCATGTCCATGCTCTCCCGTATGGACTTCTTGCATAAGCTGCATCACCCATCACATTAGAATTTTACATTAAAAACTTTCAATGAAAATGGTCTACCTATTCAGCATTTGTGCATAAACTTAAAATGCAAAGACAATGGAGTATAGCAGACAAGAGGCTGAAATAAGTTACAAATTAAAATTTAATATACAATCCAAGAAATTAAAGAACTCACATAAATTGGAATCTATAGAACACTTGTTTAGTCAACAACTTAATGAAGCTTATCTACTCAACAAAGACTAGAAGTTGGGCTAAACTTAATTGTTGAGGACTTGAGGGGAAAAATAAATTGAAGTAGATAAGACTATAAGAGGAAGACTTATAAATTCACACTTTTCAAATAAACTCTTTTCCTAGTAAGTCTGAGCAATTTAATGAAGCATCAATGGCATTTTTGAAATTTCAATTATTTTGCTGGCTTGGTGACTTCTAACTTAATAAATGCATGTCTTTTATTCTATCTTTAGTATAAAGAGTGTTTTAATTGTCAAAACAACATGTCTATTTCAAAAATAACTCCTATCTAATCAACCAAACATGTTGAAAAATTTTTCAACTTCTTTCTTTCTAAGAAGCTTGTATCAAAATATGGAGTGCATATATATATAGTCAGTGTACACACACAAACACACATATATATAGACAAGTTCTAGCCAGGCCAAACAAGCTCACAGTATACTTTTTAACAAAACCAAAATGACAAGTGATATTTGTTCCACATGACTCATGTATCTTTTAGATCACCTGATCAGCCTCTAAACATCCTGATGAATTCATGGGGCTGCTACTTGTGTACTTATCAGCCTTTGCACCCGTATCTGGTACAACAACAGAATCAAAACTAGCTGGAGACAAGCTCTCATCAATTCTAAGAACTGATGCCTCTATCGATGCACTTGTTGAGCAATTTTTCAAAGAATCAGCAGGAAGTGGATTCCCAACCACCCTCGCTGGATAAGGCACCTGTGCAAATTAAAACCATATCATGGAAATTACTTGACAGTCTCTTTCAGAGCAGTTAACAATAACATATCAAAATGTGCACAAGAAATGATATTTACAAGCAGTTCACCTAGCCTCCTTTTGCTTATTATTTAGGATAGCAAATTTAAGACTATCCAAAAGCTATTAAGCATTCATCTCTTCTGAATACACACATATAACTATAGATACATTAAATCCTAGAGCCCACTGTATTCATGAAAGTTCCTGTAACTCTTCAAGGATATAGTAAGAACCTTATCACCATTTCATCATTTTAGAAGTATATATAACCAGATAAAATTTAATCATAATGCATACAAATATAGCTTTAGTATTTTTAGTGTTCTTAGATTTCCTGTAGCACCATTCTGAAGGTTTCATAATGTCTTAATAAATTAAATAATCAAATAATAAAGTAATAAACCCTATCAAACCAAATTCAGACCCAGAAATATAAGGAGCAGTAGTAGTAACTAGAACTAGTACTGACTACTGACCACGTTAGAAGGAGCTGCCGGTCTATAAGTGTTGCCATCGGGCTCGACGGTAAAACCGGCCTGGCGGGCGAGGGCAGAGAGGACGTCATTCATGTCAGAACGGGGCGGGAGGTCGAAATTGCCGTACTGGCGGAGGCCGGCCATCATCCGGGAAGTGAAGGCCCGGCGATCGCGCTCGCGAAACTTGGTGCGCTCCTTCTGTTTCTCTCTCTCCTTCCTGCTCTTGTTGGCAGTAGCAGAGGCAGCGTTGCCGGCCATTCTGGCGGCAAAGCCACGAGGACGGCGGGAGGCCGGTTGGGGTCGGGGATTAGGGTTCGAATTCCGGTCATAGTTCGGGTTCGGGTTCGGGTTCTGGGAATCCATAGCTTGGGCTTGGAAGGGGCGGTTTCACCTAGCTCCTCCACACTCCATTAACGGCTTACAGCTTCGCATTTTGTTGATTTTCATTTTTTTTCTTTTTGTGGGACCAAATAATGCAGAAATAGAAATATTTTATGAGTCTGAACAAAAATGGAATTTCTTAATAGGGAAAATGACACTTTTTCCCCCTGTGTTATATACCTATAGCATTTTTTTTCCCTAAATTATTGAAGTGCCTGTTTTTTCCCCTGAAATGTTAAATGGACATATTTACCCTTAAATTAAATATTTAATTTATTTTTTTCTCCAACAAATTGTGACCATAATTTGGATCAAACTAAACAAACACTATAGCAACCAAACTGAAATATTTCAATTACAATTTAGAATCAAAATTCGATATTTAGAGTTTATTAAAATCGTGAACCGGAACGGACGGTTCATGTTCCGAACTGAAAAAATAAAATACATTTATTGTTGAATTTATACTATTTTAAAATAAAAAATAAGATTTTAAAATAAAGACGGTTCAAAATCGCGAATCGAATCCGGAACCGCCGGTTCACGGTTCAAGATTCAATTTTTTTGATACATAATTTTAATAAATTGACATTTAAATATTGGGTTCTAGATTTGAATTATAACCGAAAACTATTAGGAGTAATTCGATTGCTTTAGTATCCGGTTCAATTCAAACCGATCCGTGGTCATCTCTACGTATACGCAATAATTTGTTGGAGTAGTAAAATAAATAAAATGTTTACTTTAAGGGTATAAATGTCAATTTAATATATCATGGGGAAAAAGCACCACTTTTAGAATAATTGAGGGGGCTAATGTGCTTACCTAAATAATTGAGGGGGAAAAAGTGCTATAAGTATATAACTCAGGGGCAAAAAGTGTCATTTTCCCTTCTTAATATTTCGCTTATTAATTACTCCGTATTAAATTTTCAGTTATAGATCTTTCCCATATTAATACTTCGTTTATTAATTATTAAATTTTGAGTCCTAAATCTTTCAATTTAATTGTATTATGAAACAAAGTTTAATGATTTATTTGACAATTATTTCATAATTTATAGAAACCACAATTCATATTCTATCCAAGTGTCTATATCTAAATCTAAAAATATAATAAGTCTTAATCAAAGTTAATTTTCTCATTTATATTCATGTTTTTAGTACTAATTATTTTGTATATTGTGCTTTTAGAGTTGTATTATATAATTTTTTTTGAACAAAAATATTCCTACTATTATACTTTCATTATCTTTTCCATTAATGTTACTATACACATACGTTCACCATATATTTTCTTATATTCTGTAATGAAATAATATTTGTAGACATTATATATTGGATTAATATAATAAATAAATTTGATTTTATATAAATTTCAATTAGTAAGAATTTTTTTTTTAGTTATTTTAAAAAATATAAATATTGAGCATATATTTTTGCGTATTCAAAAGACTAGTTTTAATAATAAATGCCATAATTTTAAACTTAATTTGTATCATTTATGTAATTTATAATAATGTCATAATAAGTTATATATCCATTGATTATTTATAAATTATAAGTTCACCCGTGGACTCGAGTCCACCTTGCAAGGTGAAGCCAATTAAGTTGAAAGATACAGAATTTAACTTTTAAAAATTCACAATTAGTGATGATTGTATTCATAAATTTCCAAAATTTATAAACACAATTTATATTTAAGAATTTCACAATTCCAACACTAAAAATACACAATTTAGGACCAAGGTGGACCCTGGTTCTATAATATAACAACGAAAGGAGGCAGATTTTGATGTGGGCCATGGTCCATGTAGCATCATTTTTCACGCACAATAATTTCATTATAATAATACTAAAGTATCATTATAATTATAGTGATTCTAAGAAACTGCAGTAAGAAGCGTTGATGAGCCCTGTTCTAGGGAACAGAAACTCGGAGGATCAAGATCTCCTTGAACGAAGTACGAAGACGAAGAAAAGCGAGACATTGGAAGCACAGGTGGAGGACGTGAGTATGGGCAACTCTACTATGGGGCTAGAACCAACGCACACGTAAACTATGCGTGCATGATAAATTGATAATACACTAAAGAGCTATTTGAATGACGAAGAAACCTGTAACCACTATCTGAGAATGTGCAAATAAATTCTCTAATCGATAAATGATTACAAGGAGATAAATCAGTTTAGATTGACCATAACTGATCGGTTCAAATCAATAATACGAATAAGTTGCTTCGAGATTCTAACTTTGTAATTGATAAAAAAATTTCAAATTCTAGACATACAGTAGTATGAGACATTTCCAATCCAAAACAAAAATAACTAAAGCATTCATAATTATGTTTTGTTTTATACAAAACCTTCTTCCTTCATAAACCCAATGATAAATAAAATAAAATAAAATAAGTAATAAACCTTATAACAAAATTCAGAAACCCAGAAATATATATAAGCAGTAGTAGTAAATAGAACTGGCTATAGTGCTGAATACTAACCACGTTAGAACGAGCTACCGGCGATCTATAAGTGGTGCCATCGTTCTCGACGGTAAAACCGGACTCGCGGGCGAGGGCGCCGACGACTAGATTCAAGCCAGCACGGGCCGGGAGGTTAAAATTGCCGTACTGGCGGAGGCCGTCCAACATCCGGGCGGTGATGGCCCGGCGTTCGCGCTCGAGAAACATCCTGCTGTTGTTGGCAGTAGCAGAGGCAGCGCCGCCGGCCATTCTGACGGCTAAGCTACGAGGATGGCGGGGGGGCCGTGGGGGTCGGGGATTAGGGTTCGAATTCCGGCCATTGCTCGGGTTCTGAGAATCCATAGTTTGGTTTTGGAATTCACCGGCCATTCTGCCGCCACGAGGACGGCGGCGGGTCGATTGGGGTCGGAGATTAGGGTTCGAATTCTGGTCATTGCTCGGGTTCGGGTTCTGGGAATCCATAGATTGGTATTGAAAGGGGCGGTTTCAGATTTTCAGTGTTTCACCTCGCTCTTCCACACTCCATTAACAGCTTAAAGCTTCGCTTCTTATAGATTTTCAAATTTTTTTTGCGGGACAAAAATAATGCAGAAATGGAAATATTTTATGCGTTTGAACAAAAATGGAATTTGTTTTTTGAAAGGACCAAAAATGGAATTTATTTCTATTTGGGTAGACGAAAATATTTCTTACTAAATATGATTGACCTTTGCCCTGGCATTTCACAAATGCAAACTGTAAATTTATGAATACTTTGCTTATTAATTATTAAATTTTGAGTCCTAAATCTTTAAATTTAATTGCATTGTGACAGAAAATTTAATAATTTATTTGATAATTATTTCGTAACTAGCCACGCACGCTCGTGGCACGTAGTGCACACTCCAGTGTGAATTTAAATTTTTTTTTAACACAAGGCAAATTCGAGAAAATGAAAAAATGAAAAACAAATAAAATTGGAGTAAACATAATCATCATTTTTTCTTTAAATAATTCATTTTAAATAATAATACATAGTAAATTCGGGTTCCTTTTTTAGTAAGAAATACTGTCTTCTTCCGGATTTGGAAGAAGTGCCCGAAAGAAGGCAACCATGGACCACCCTTCCCAATGCAAACCCTAATCAATTTCTTACGTAAGAAAGGAACCAAATTTACAAATGTATTATAATTTATAATGAATCACGATGATAAATGAAGCGGAAAATAGATAGGAATATATATAAAGCCAAATTGGTAGAAATATACAATCTACAAATCTAATAAGCGTTAATAAAGATAGGTCTTTAACGGAAACAAAAAAATATTTGGTGTAATTGTTTATCGAAATGAATGGTTCATATTATTTTGATTTTAGTATTTTTTTAATAATTTTTCTTATTTACCATATATTATATTATTTTTTTCTCTTAAATAACTCTGTATTTCGTTAGTATAAACTTTAGTAACGGAATATTCTGTTAACTATTTATTATTCTTAAGTTACTCATTATTTTATATGAGAAAGGTCTTAGGTTCGAACCACATTCCAACCAGAGTTGACATAATTATTAAACATATACTACGAATATTTTAAAATGTATTTAAAAATACAATATAAAATTTAACATAAACTTTGGTCAAATAATTAGTCCGACTAAATACATAACATTCAATGTTGAGCATCAAAGATTATACATCAGGAACCTTGAAAATCATTTTCTTGCATTTAAAAAAAAAAACAAAAAAAAAAAAAAAAACAACAACAACAACAAATTTAGGTTACATTTTTTTTTTTCCTTTTTTTTTTCTTTTAATTAATATTCTTTTGATTATTTAGAAGAATAGTTAATATTTCAATTATACTTTTACATTTTGAAATGACTTAGGTTATTATGATATTAATTAATATTTTTTATATGTATTTTTATAATGGTACAATTATATATTACTTTAAAAATATTGTACAATTATTTTTTTATCGAACAAAATTATTCTTATATCATTGTCAAACCTACACGACCTAACTACAAAGTTGTTGATAAAAAATACAACTACACATTAACACTAAAGTATCATTTTAACTCTACTATTTTCTTTGGTACACATTTTAACTCTATTATAGCTTCATTTGGCAATCATATTGGATCATTGGTCCACATAGCGCTATGTGGACCATAGTCCATTGTATAACAACGGCCCACGGGTGAAAGGACTCATGCCTAGTGCCCACAAGAAAGACAAATTATATCGTGCACCGCGGTGCATAACCGATTATGCACCGCGCATCAAAACGACGTCGTTTTGTTAAATGAAAAGAAACCGCATTCGTTTTCCGTCGTTCCGCACCCTTTCGCAAAAAGTAACTCTGTTATTCAGTTTCATTTTGTATACACTGCAGTTTTAGTTCAACACAACTACAGTTTCATTTCGATATTTATAGACTCAAATATGTGAAAATGTTATTTAATTTTATTTTATATACACTATAGTTTTATGGAATAAGGTTCAAATTGGCCACTGAACGTAACCTGAAAATGCAATTAGGTC